TTCTTTCTTTCTTTCTTTCTTTCTTTCTTTCTTTCTTTCTTTCTTTCTTTCTTTCTTTCTTTCTTTCTTTCTCTTTTTCTTTTTCTAGTATGGAAAGGAAGAACAGAAGCATTTTCTCAGCTCTTCCCAGTTAGATCTCAGTCACCCTAATAGCATGAAGGTGGCAGTCGTAAAACTGTTACGCATATGACATGAACACAGAATTGGCATGTAAGCAGGCTGTTGTGCCAAAAGTCCCCTAACAGACAGCAATTTTTTCCCAGGCAAAGCAAACAAATAAACCCTCCAGAGAAGCACAAACAGGAAACATCTTCAGACCTGATGGCCAAGGGCAGAGCACACGTGGTCTTTTCCTAGGTCCGTAGGGCAGCAGATAAAAGCAGGGAGTCTGGACACACTGAGTGGTGTACCTGGGAAACAGGATGAGGAAGCTGGCAGCGTCCTACATACTACAAGTCCATCTAAAAGGAAGTCAATACCGGCAGGGGTCCATTTAGAGAACCAAGATGCTAAGGGTTTTGCATGATACAAACAGATCTGGTGTTTTGGTTTCATGGTTGAGGTTTTGTTTTTTAATTGTGTGGTACATGTGTGCACATGTGTGAGTGTCCACACAGGACAGAAGAGGACATCAGATCCCCTGGAGCTTTAGTTAGAGGCAGTTATAGGCCGCCTGGCATGGGTCTTCTACAGCAGTAAGAACTCTTAACTGCTGGCCCATCTCTCCAGCCCCTTTGTTGTTTGTTTGTTTGTTTGTTTTTTAAAGACTTAACTTCTAAGGTGATAAGAAATCACTTCCCAGCCAGACATATTTTCCCCTCTGGAGCCTAAAAACACTGTATGCAAAGCGAAGCATTCACACTTGACCTTTTTCATTCATTCTGTACAATGTGACAAAGAGAATACAGGGAGACTACCCAAACTTCAGATGCTAAACCTTAAACAGGGTCGCTCTGAAGGCTCTTCTTTGAATACCATAAATCTTCCTCACCACGCTAAATCTTCCTCACCACATGGACGCCTGTAACCACTCATGAGGACGCCTATTACACTAAAAAGAAAGCGGTCTTGGGAAATGGAACACTTTAAGTCCCTTGCCATTAGTTAAGCACAGAGCGGTAGGGAAAGCCCTCAACTGTCTCCAAAAGCACCCTAGGGTTGCTCTCCTGTGACAAGTGCAGTCAGGAATGAAGGAGTCACCAGGCGACTTCCAGTGCTGAGGAAAACTGGAGAAGTTCTTAAGGTCACGATTGGAACCTTGCGGTGAAAGTGTATCTGACAGAACTTTAAGAAAACTAAAAGCTTCCTCCTCCACTGGCCGTCCTGGACCCCCGGGCCTGGGTCAGAGCTGCGGGTTTGTCTGGTGCACTGTGAATTCAGATGCTGATTTCTGTACCCTGAGATCTGGTGGTGTAGTCACGTTCATTGATCACTGTTGGGTAAACTCTGCTCCCAGTTATCTCTGACTGGTTAATAAAGTTGCTGAGGGCCTATAGCTGGGTAAGAGAGGACAGGAGGCAGTTCTGGTCCCAGTCTGGGAGGCTCAGGTAGGGACCATGAAGGAGAGAGGGGGAGAGGGGAGAAGAAAGAATGTCCATGAGGACTGACCTGATGGAATAGAAACAGCCCGGGCAGGACCAACATGACACATAGGTCAGGGCACACGGCTGGGAATTAGCAAGACTAGCTTCGATGGGCTACAGTAGATTATTATCTGTCCAGTCATGAAGCCTAAAGCTTATTAATAAATTTACTAGGTCTCCATGCCATTTATTTGGGAGCTAGAATGGGTGGTTAGAAAAGGCCCCCCAAATTATATCCTATCTTTCAGGCCAGGTCCTCCCATGTCAGTGTGTAATCACACTTTTCCTGTCAACAAGGCTGCCAGGATACTTATGTGTACTTATTCACCATTGTCTCTAGAACTAACAAAGTACCTGTGTAGATTAAGCATCTAATAAAAATTTGTTAAATATATAAAAAGCACCAAAATATAGAAAGGGAACATGGAGACATCATGGTACAAAAAGCCAGTGTGATAGTTATCCATGAGATTGTGTAAATCAATTTAAATTTGATTAATGACACATTCACACTAGATTTTATTCAAAAAGCATGAACAAGGCAGCATGCTAAGCTGCAAAGCCAAACAACGACAGACACACCCTCAGTGGAGGGCAGAAGCCACCCTGCACTCTGTAAGTGTCGCCTACCACACGACCCAGGACTTTGCTGGGGCTCACAAACATCTGTTTGTCCTCACTTATCCTGAGGTCACCGTGGAACCCCAGAAAGCAGGGCACCACCAACAAAAGCATAGAATGGGCTTCTTGAAGAACAACTCTTAAATAATTTCAATCAAATGAAAAAGTAATAGATAAATCAATCAAAGATTGTTTTTTAGCACTGAGGTGTTACTTCAGAAAGAACAGCAGCAAATGCCTGTGGGGTTACCATCTGTGCACCACAAGCCCACACACTCCCCAAGCACCCAGGAAGTGTGCCCGCCCATTCTTACCTTGCATTTGCCTCCCCCGAGAAGACTGACTAGATCTCCACCCACAGGGCAAGCCTGTCGTAGGTTAGATGGATACAGTCTTCATGTTAAAGACTTGATCCCCAGGTCAGGGCGACTGAGGTGTTGGTTTGTTGTCATTGTAGACTAGGGAGTATATGAATACAGTAATGCTTTCTATTCAAGCATTTCCCTTAGCCACTTTTAATGTCTCCAGATTTAATTAACAGAGCAGGGAAGCAGCCCTGAGCTGAACTCAACACTTTGGGGCAGAATCCTCGGGGAGTGGAGCCTAAGGAGACACTGTGCTGGTGTGAAGGAACAATGGAGAACATTCCCCGGAGTCTTGGACATTTGAACACTTGGTCCCCAGCTGGTGGCACTGTTCTGGGAGATCTAAGAGGTGTGGCCCTGTTGGAGGGATCATGTCCTGCTCTGAGGTTTCAAAGCTTGGTACACTTCCCAGTGAGCATCATCTCTCTCCCTGCTTCCTGCTGGAAGGGTAAGCTTTGCTCCCTGTTCCTGCCACCGTGCCAGCCACTTCCTCCCATGCCACCGTGCTGTGAACAACTCTCATTCCTCTAGAAGCAAGAACCAAAACAAACTCTCTATTCTATGTATTGCCTTGATCCTAAGTGTCTTATCACAGTAACAGAAAAGTAACTAGTACAGACCTCATCAGCTCACGGTGGGCCTGCCCTCAAAGGGGCGGGAGGGTCCAGTCGCGCTCTTTCTCTTTCTGTTTGGCTTTGCCTCTTGGCTCTTACCTTAAAGTGGACTCTGAAAGACACCCCTGCCAATCATGCAGCCAGAGACCCAAAGCATTGTGTCCTTTGATTTTTAGACCAGACCCTCCAAAATCATGTGCCTAATTAACATTTTATCTTTATAAATTGTTTACCTTCAGTGTTTCATTACAGTACTTCAAATTAAACTTCCTTCCTTCACGCCTATCACTGACAGTATTTACCAAATACCTGTCCGCCACCACACACTGTTCTAGACACTTCATGGTTTTTATTTAGTTTTCCCCCGAAGTGTGTCGGGCGGGTTGCTTTACCACTCTACTTTCACCAAAGAAAAGTCTGAGACAGAGAGGTCTTGTGCAAGACAGGTGCTAGGAGTGGCTGAGTCAATGGGAGGTCCCTGACAAATGGTGTGTGCACAGTCCTATGGCTGTGCCCATCTGCTGTGTTTGGCGCTCACGCTAAAGGGCTTCCTTCAGCCTCAAGGTCCTCCTCCAGCCCCAGCCCTCACCCACCCTCTGCTCTCATGATGCAGCAACCGTGCTCTGCTCTCAGGACAGGGATCTTGTCCAGGACCTGAGTCTCTTCTTCTTGCTACCAGTCCTAACAAAGGGCAGCCATCTACACACAGGATGGACACAGTTACATTGTCAGAGTGTAGGTCGGTCTCCAAGAGGCTCTCTCCCCTGTGTTCTCTTCCTGCAGATAGTGCAATGCCTGGCTTTGGGGTTTTCGTCAGAATTTAAAGGTGCAGCACTTGCCTAGCCTAGGTAAAGCCCTGGGTCCCACCACCATGAAACCAACAATCAAATAACTGGTTTTGTCTGGAAAAAGCTAGATGTTGCAAAGCACTGTGTTGAAACTCACTTTGTAATGACTTCAGACCAAAAGAATTTTTGGCAAAGGTGCCTTCTCTCTTCAGACAGCCTACCCCCGCCAAACAAAGCCACGGTCCTGAACCAGTGACAGACAAGCAGGAGTTCCCTTTCTGCAAGCCACAGAGGGGCCTGCCACCTGTCAGAGGGCATGCCGTTAATTGAGTGACACTTGTGAAGGGCTTTGCAACATGAAGCACATGTGTCCACCGGGATCTCACACATGGCGCTCCACACTGCACAATCCAAGGGCTATTTTTAAAAGCTACCAGTTGAGCAGAACTTTCAAGTGTCTCCTTTTACAGCTCACTGTAAATTCGTTACTTGTGAACTAAGAAAGGGCACCTCAAGAAATGCTCAAGATTATTGGTGGCGCTGAAGAAAATATGAAGGGTATGCACACACGCGCCCAAAATCCTCAGGAAGCTACACTCCACGGAAACAGGCAATTCCAGAGGAGACGAGGGACGAGACTACGGACGTCACTTCCACACAACCCAGGGAGTCACAACACTGTGGTCACCCAGGACACACTTTGGGGGTGGTTCACACAAGAACAAAAGCAACTTCTCTATAGCTTGGCGGTACCTGCTGGGGCAGTGAGGTGAGTGTCTCAGTGGGCGTGGGTTTAGATGTGGTATCCCATCTACCTACCAAACCACAGTTACGCAAAAGCTTTTCTGGCTTCAGGAAGAATCAAGGGTTTATTTTTAATTAATGAGGGTAGGTCCCTAATTCCCTCTTTCAAAGCACTTCCTCTTGTTAAAGCGAATCCTGCGAAATTAGCGGGGAGGTTTAATGAATGGCCTACGGCTAAGAGGTTTGAGGACAGTCCCCCTCAGAGCGATGCTTGTCTAATGACAGAGCTCCTGAGGGCTACCCCTACTCTGCCTGGCTTCTTCTTTAGTACAGCAGCATGCCGGCTCGGGGGCCTCCGTCCTGCAGGCTCTCTGATGCGAACCATCACTTTTCAGTTCTTGAGTCTACAGGGCAAGCCTTGGCATGCTCACAGACCCCTCTGGATCCCTCTTCTACTGTCTATGCTCCCAGACAGCACTTTGATCACACTAGGTACCAGGTCAGACCTGAGTCATGACTCACCGTGAACGTCAACTTTCTAGGGCAACAGTTCTCTGTGGCATTTCATTCATGCAACTCCTTCAAGTTTTGCTTTATGGGTCGTGTCTTCTACCTCTGATATGTGACAAACTATAGGGACGCTTTGGAGAAAGGCCCGAGTTAAGCAAATGTCAGGAAAGTCAGGCAAGCTCCTCGTGCTTGCCATTTAACAGCAGAAAGGGAAGATTTGCGAGAACATGTACTCAAGTCGCTTTAGAATTCTGGTTCTCAACGTGGGGTCACGACATCCTTGGAACCAAACAACGCTTTCACGGAAGTCACAAACACAGATTCATTGGAAAACACAGCTTCGTATCAGTAGCAAAATTAGTTATGAAGTAGCAACAAAAATAATTTTATGGTCGAAGGTCACCACAACACGAGGGACTGTTATAGGGTTACAGTGTCAGAAGGTTGAAAACCACTGCTGCAGAGTAATGCAGACTAACTGGGCACAGGAAGACTATCATCGACCAATTTCAACACTTAAATTCCTCAGCTACCAAGCACATACTAGTAGAAGCACTAACTCAAGAATTCTGAATTCATTCTGCATTGGAAGCACAACGTATTTGTCATCATAAAAATAAGAAAACATTGCCAGATGTGATGCCATTAGCCTCTAATCACAGCACTCAGAAAGGCAGAGGCAGGCAGATCTCTGAGTTCAAGGTCAACCTGGTGTACAAAGCAAGTTTAGGACAGCCAAAGCTACACAGAGAAACCTTGTCTCGACCCCCTAACCTCCCCCCCAAAAAAGGAAACATGGGGCTGGAGTGATGGTTCATTGGTTAAGAATATTCAGTGTTCTTCCATAGGTCCCAAGTTTGATCCCAGCTTTTGCATGGCAGCTCACAATAGCCTATAATCCTAGTTCCAGGGGACCTGATGCATTTTCTGACATCTGCAGGCTCATGCACATATGTTGTACATCAATACACGCAAACACACACATACACACACACACACACACAAAATAAACAAATCTGTGGAAAAGTGAGAAAACAGTTTCAAAGCTGGGCACAGTGGCATATGTTGATAGTCTGAGGGGCCAGGCACCGACTGAGCTCGGTTCAAAGCCAAGCTAGGAAGACCATCTCAGCCATCTCACCCATTTACTCTTTATTAAGTTGGCAGCGTTTCATCCGCTGATTTAGCACAACCTGCCTCTGTGGATGGTTGGTAGCTTACAGAGATACCTTCAGTTCTTGTAATGGTTGATACTGATTGTCAGCTTGACAGAACCTACATCCCTGGAGATGGGTCTCTGAGCATATGTGGAAGGATTATCCAGATTGGAAAAGATCATATGAAATATGGACAATGCCATCCCATGAGTTTGGGTCCTGGATTGAATAAGGAGGAGAAATCAAGTTGAGCACCAGATTCGTGTGTGTGTTTGTGTGTGTGTGTGTGTGTGTGTGTGTGTCCAGCACAATGGACTGTATCCTCTCAAACTGTAAGCAAAATTAACCCCTTCCTCCCTTGAGTGCTTTTTGACACTTTACTTCAACAAATGTACCATCGTAACCTTTGCTAAGTGGAGTGATGGTGTCCTGGAGCATAACTTCCCCTACGGCACTGCTGTGAGCCAGGTCCACGACAGGTGCCTAGCACACAAAAGATGATGTCTCATAACTATCACTATTGTCTTCAGAGCGAGGGTGATGGTTATCTCCTCTTCTTCCTCCTTTCCTCCCCCTTCCCTTGATACAGGGTCCCAGGCTAGCATGACCCTTGTACACTTCCTGTCTCGGCCATTGCTGAGATCAGTCATATACCAGCATGTCTAGGAGAACCTGAGACTCGAGACGCTGAGTGAGCTAATCACATCTCTCAGCCAGGAGGCAGCAAGGCCAGGATTTCTACCCCAGTGTGCCTGCCTATGCGTCCACTCTGCCATTGGTCTCCTGCCACAGAGTCCCCTATGCTTAGCCCCCACCCTACACCAATACCCACTTGACTATGTACATAAGAAAATTCTGCAAGCTCTTCTCTTTATGTACTTTCTGACTGGGCCATACGATCTAAAGTTTAGCATTCCTGACTTCTGCAATCTACTTATTTAATGCTTCCTCTGTGTCCTTAAGTAACTCTTTACAGTAAGTGTATAGACCAAAGAACAGAAACAAGCATTTGGGGCCCATTCACACCTGCTCTACCCACTAATGACAAAGCCTGACCAAAGGAGCATCACAGGAGCCATCCAGGCCTGTAAGGGGCTGAGGACATGACCTTGAGCATTAAGTGTCTCACCTCTGAGCAACAATGCCAGCTCCAAGTAATAGTTTGCACTCTCCAGGAGAGGAAGGTCCCAACAGTGTGAACTGTTTACACATAGCCCACGCAAAGGGAAGCAATCTGCCATATTTCTTATCTCTCTCTCTCTAAATCTTCTCTCTAAATCTATTATTACCATGCTTTTCTTCTCTGCCCTCCAGAACACATGCATGTTCAACTTTCCCCTTATAAAAAAAGAGGGACAGGCATGGTGGTGCACACCTTTAATCCCAGCTCTCAGGAAGGCAGA